ACGATGCTACCCAAAATATAACAAACGGCGCTGTTTTACACAATTATAGCCAAATAAGGGATAACACTCAAAACATGGCAAACCTTACACTTTATTTATGCTGTGATACTAATTTTGTTAAATTTGTTTTAAGCGCACGACCTGTTTGAGGACTCTGATGAATGGTAAATTTAAGCGTAAATTTAAATATGAGTCCAAATAATTAAACTTCCTAGAATATTAAGCCTGTTCACACATGTCTTCGTAAGCAAAACATAAGCGGAAGGATACACTAGCAGTTTTCTAAATCTCTTCCGGTTTTAGGAAGTTTGTTATTGTTTACATTCAGTCAACCATACGCACGTCAGGGATGAGATTTTTCCGCTTTTTAGCTGATTTCCGCTTTTTTTACTTTTATCTCTTGAATTTCAGCTTTTTTTTCAAAAATTCAGATTTTTCTAAAAATTTCACTTTTTTTTATAAGTATTCCGCTTTTTCAGAAAACTCACCCATTTTCAAAGAGAAACACAAAATTCAAACTACATAGCTACCAATCCTTTCTCATTTTTACTTATTTTAGCTATTTTCTCCCCTTTTACTCGCAGCAGATAAGATTTTCCGAATTTTTTACCCGCCCTCCAGATAGATCCGATTTTTGTAGTTCAAACGACGCTGTTTCTGACAAGCCATTTAGAGGTCCCAAGCCTGGAGTCTGCCAATATCTCGATTCTTATTCACACGATTTTAATATCAAACATAGCTTTTCATATTTGCGTGTTGAGATTCTTATTCACGCGATTTGAATATTGTACGTTGTGCTTCGTATTTACGCCTTTTTAAAAACCTATGAAGCGATTCGTATTCCCGCAAGTTTAAAATTCAATGTCTTGATTTGCTCATGCTGTTTATAATATCAAACATTGATTTTCATTTATACGTGATTTTAAAATAAGGCATTGGGATTCGCATTCACGCATTCTAAAAATTATGCATCATAATTCTTATTTATGCAATCTAAAAATTACGCATCATGATTCGTATTTACGCGATCTAAAAATTATGAATCGTGATTTGTATTTACGCGTTTTAAAAATTCTATATCCCAGTTTGTATTTTCTCATTTTCAAAATCGTATATCTAGTTTCATATTCATGTGATTTCAAAATCCATAATTGTTATTCATATTCACGCAATTTTAATATCAACTATCGCGATTCTTGTAAGAAGTAAATTTTTTTAAAAATTAGTTACTATAAAGGTGACTGTTTTTCTAACTACGATTATTAGTATATGTAAGTGTTACAACATCAGAGAAACTGGAAGGGAATATATTCAAAACTTACATTCTGTGCTTTGCAAGGAAGAAAAAATAGGATTTGTCACAAGATGTTTGAAGATAGATTAACGACTTAATATAGCAAACATAAAAGATATAACAAACAAAAGCAATCACTTAAAAAGAGATTTAATAAAAATTTTTTTTTGGAAAAAGAGTTAATTAACTCATCATCAAAATTTTATTTATAATTGCCGTTATTTATGCTATAAAATGCAAAATTCTTATTAAATAAAAAACCATTATCTAAACAGTTGCTGATTGTCATGTAATTTTTCAAACTAAAATAGCAATTTTTGTATGTTAAGGAGTTACTATATATTTCTACTTCACTGTTATTGATATGTTTCAGAGGGCTCTAGTTAGATTAGACTATAATATGAACATAATGATTCGGTCCATTGTTAAAGTTTTTTTTTTCCGAATATAATTTAAAAAGTAATATTACTGATATATTTGCTATAAATCACATAACAGTATTTATTAAAAGAAATGAAATTTTAATGTGTATTCTCAGTAGTTTTAATTTGCTAAACCAGGTAGTTTTTCAAGTAATAATTGTCTCTTATGTGAACTGAGGAAAAATATAATTTCCAGCTTTATTTTTTCAATTGGAAATTTCTATTTTCACTAAATATTAAGTATCAATGTAATCATTTATATAATAATTGATTAGTACACAATTGTATGTCAACACATTATTTATTACCTTAAACTGTCTGGAATTTATTGTTAAAGGGTTGCGCTTGCGTAAAATTTAGTATCGTGGAAATTCAGCTTTTTTGCCTTTTGGCTAATCTCATCCCTGCACATTGCGTGAACAAAAAGGGTATCTGCAAGCATCCGTCTAGCGGACAGTTTGCTAAAAATAGTAAACAGCAAAATACGTATTAGTTCTTTCTGTTTCATCATTGGATCAGGCATTTTTCTTTACATTTTTTATTGATATTGTGGTGCCGGATTATCCCAATATGCGATCCACTTTATTTAACTGTGTAACTACACAGTTAACTTTACGGATCGATAGACGGCGCTGCAAAAATGTTTGCAAAACACTTTTAAAAAAATATTATTTATGTCATAATAATAAATGTAATAAAAATTAAATGTAAACAATATATAAACAGTTATTAGCATATAAAAATATAATTTAAATAAAATAAAATAAATTTAATAAAATAAATTTAATAAATATAAAACGCAAACCAAAAATAATGTGAGAAAATATTGGAAGAACAAAATGTGCAAAGCAACAAAGTAGAGCCATTACCGTACTACACAGTTAAGTAAGGTACATCACATATTGGTGCGATACCAAACACTGTCCACATCAGTTTATCTTCACAGTTTGGACTACCGCCCTCATTTTTTATCAACACTTAACCAAAAATTAACACAGAGTCACCATCTTAACTCTCAATGCCGTTGGTTATCATAACATATAAAATAAACTGCAAATTATAAAGCTTTAAATTTCTAACTGAAATATGTTCATTATGCAAGGAATTTAGAATGTTATATTAGTTGATGGATACTGTAAATATGTACTTCAGATGAGATGTGACAAAGATCATCGCTGAGAGCAAACGAAACACAATCAACTAAAAATTTTAGTAGGTCAACAAGTATAAATTATCACTGATATGACAGCTGTTTTACAACCTTATACTTTCTCTGAGATTTGCAAAAAAAATAACTTTTGTTGTTGATGATGAAAGCTATTTAACACCGCAACGTGCTTGTCACTAAGTAACCCCGGATAACAGTAATTTTTAAATTCTCGTGCTTTATGCTTTGTCTTATAAATTGTTAGGTCTTATGGAAGATTATCACCAAATACAATTTACTGCCACAGAATTCTAATAACATGCAATGAAATGGAGAATTTTTTAAAAAGTTTAATTAATATCACTGTTGTTAGAATGAATTCACACTGGTTTTAGCAATTTAAAACCATTCAATTCCATTAAACATATTTAAAATCATATGATTCCATAAATCGGAATTCATTGTTAAGACGTTTTCAGAAAAAGGATCCTTCTGAATAATGTACTTTCGGATATAAGATTTCGTACTGATAAATTACTAAGCTCCCTGCATATTGAAGATTTGGAAGGAGTTTTTACTCTTGTCAGTTAAAGCCCTGGATACGTAAATCAAGTAGCAACACGCCGCCATCTTGGTGACTCTCTTGTAGCCGCAACTCACAATGTAGAAAGCCTGAGTTTCTATTCTAAACGGAACAATTACCTTTTTTAAAAAAATCTTTCCTTACTATAAAATTTTATCGTACTTAGTATCGTTTGGAATCCATTTATCTCTGCCAGTTCTATGCAGCCATAATTTCCATCGTTCTTTATTGCGATCTTCAACATGTAAGCGATATAATTTAAAGTCTAATTTTGACTCATTGGAACACCCTAATTCGCAACAATTTGTCATTATTAATTTAAAAGCATGAAACAAATTACGTAAAAAGAAAAGCGAAAATCGAAAAAAAAACAGATCGAGTACAATGATACTTCATCGTTCAAACCAGTCAACAAAATAGCGACTGTTTAAACACGTGATTCGTGACTACCAATCAAAATCGAAAGCGGCACAAAGGTCGCATGGAAAAGACGGACGCTATTTTAAAAGTTTATCAAAGGCTTTATCATCAGTCAGCCATGGTTGGTTTGTTTATACGTGATATTATGTTGATGATTAGTAAAGAAGAGAATATGTTTAAAAATGTATGTTTGAGTTTCAAAATGTTTTTTTCCTGGTATGTTATCAGCGATATTTTCAATAATTATATGACTTAAAACTGCAGATATATTTTTCTCTGTCTAATTTTTCACATCTAAACTGTTAAAAGGCATTTCTGGAATAGGTGTACAGTGAATGATTTTTCAAAATATTTTGTAAGAGTAACTTTAGTCAATAATTTGTATAAGATACGAAAATATTTTATTTTCATGGTCACTTATAATGTAAGAAAACTGGGTGAATCTTTAACCAGTATTTGGTGCGAAGTTTCTCATTATCCCAAAGTTTAGTTAAATGAAAGATAATTTTATTTCAGATACACCATAAACTGTGAAGTGGGATCGAGAAATACTTCCATGTTGAAACTGACAGCATCGGTAAAAGACAGATTTACGACGCGTATTACGACTCGTATTTACGACGCTACAACTCGGTCTCAGTGTATCGGGACTACTCATGAAAGTTGCTTCATGTATCAACTTATTTAGGTATGTAAATGTCTTATTTGCATTAGTTAAAGTTCATTTCTTTTTTGCTGTCTTTTTAAATTTAGTTGGCTGAATAAAAGGGTTAGAAATATGTCAAAAAATGACCCGGAAATTTCTGATGGTTCAACATGAACAAACCATCAAAATTTGTAGCTATTCTTTTGTTGGGCCATCATAAATCAGTCCGAATTCCTACATTGGGTAAATGGTTACTTATGTTGGTTACCATCCAGAAATATAGTGGTTCATGATGGAATTACTTATGGTTACCATCAAGATTATATTGATCCCTCAATGGAAAACAGTAAAATATTTCGACTTGGGTATCTTCAATTTCTCCCCACACGTCTCTCAAAAGTGATGCATCGTAAGTTTTTCACTTCAGGTCTGACAAAATAAAATTATATTGATTTAGTGTACATAAAAAACTTTGATTATAAGATTACCTTGGAAAACGTAGTAGTGGAGATTCTCCTAAACTGGGTATATAGCTGAGAGGGAGAAGAGCCCCGACATCTAAGAAGAAATCACGTGACATAACATAGTGTTTAGCCAGCTGAGTCGCATCGCGAACCATGATACCCTGTTCCAGATATCCAGTTCTAAATTGCACAGCGATATCCAAAAAGTACACAGCATCCGAACACCCATCGAGCACTTTCCAGAGTACAGTGTGGGCCTCTTGTAATTCCGGGAAGGCTTGCCGGACAATAAGAGTCCAGCTATTGTAAAGGCCACAGAACGTTACGAGCCACAACCACCAGAACTTGAGGGATTCGTCCGGATTGAGAACTGTTGCCCTGGCGACACGGTATATCCAGTTGTGAGCTTTTGCCGGATCTTTGTCACAAAGGATTATGTTTGGAGGTCGCGTTGAGAAACGCTTTAGAAAAGAATCCTCCCTTTTGAGGGGTGGTTTTCTATGGTGAGTAACAGCATTGCCCAGTTGAACAGTGGTGCGGAGTTTCTTCCACCTGGACTCACATGGACTTCCGTCGGACGGTTCGGTTTCATGTTTTTTGAAGTTATCTACAAAATAATAATAACAATAATTTTTAGTATTACCATAAAAGTTATTCAATATCATTGATGCATTTGGTTTAAACAATAATTAATTTTTGTAATCAACACTCTTAGAAATTAACTGTCTTTTTTGATGATTTAGTTATCGAAAAGCTACCTGTCGTTATTTTTTACATCAGGAAATTACATGATTTCTGACGAAACGTGAACTGTCAAATACTTGATGTAATGTCACTCATGTGTCATCAATTGCATCCTGTGAGTTTTCCAATGTTCCGTAATCTGATTTTAAAACGATTTGCAAGGTTAGAGACCGTTCATACTTCATGTGATTCAAGCATCTCAAATCAGTGTCGAACAAGAGAAAGAACCTGATTGGTAAGTTTTTCGCAGGAAACTATTTTTAACCAATCATGTTTCCATTATCTGTCGATGGTGATTGGAGGTGCATGGATCACATGCAGTGAGAATGGCATTTAAGTTGGTTTGTTTAAGCCCTCATTCGTCGTCTCATCAAGCAATTGTCCTGAGCTAACTTGGCGATATGAAAATTTAATTGCTCAAACACCTTTTAATTTTTGTTGTATTTCCAAAATTGGTATGTATTAATATATTTGTATATTGGCATGTATTAATATATTGCAATGTATTAATCGATATTCTGCACTCAGCTTAACGCTTTTGGCGCATTTCGTATTCTCATAAGAAGTGAGGAATTTCCTCAATTTCATGAAATGCTGGTTCTAATCATTTCCCAGAAAACGATTTTGTTAAAAACGACGAAAATTTTATGAATTACATATGTAAATTTCTTTCTAATTTCCTATACTATACATTAAAATTGTTCTTAATTTTATAAATTATATGTTGACAAACTATGAATTAAATTTTTTCTAGTTTTATTAATTTTGTGATACTTTTTTTAATTTTTCCAATTTTATATTAAAATTGTTTTTGATAAGGGAACAGTCTGGGTTGTTTAGGGAGTATTTTGGCAACTAACCCACTGCTCAAAAGGAATTTCATCACATTCTTTTCCTTTGCTAGAAAAGAGTCTGGTGAACTTCTCTGTTTAAACTGGATTCCTCCTTCCACATGGTTGCTAGGCAATGGACTACATTGGAAAGAAATTCTCTTTAAAGGGTGTCAAGTGTTCTCTTGTGTATATTCTTTAGCAACCACTAAAATTTATGAAAATTTTAAAATGTTGAAATAAATATAATGTTAAGTTTTTTAATAGGATACCTTCAAGTGATGTAGTGTTGTATCTCGATCCTGATTGGTTGTCGAAACGTGGAATTTTTTTACGTTGGGAAGTGTTCTTTCAGTTTATTTCTAGTGAGCCAAGCCAGTCAAGTATCATTTTTCTTAAGTGACACATTCTATAATCTTTGACGGAGATTCTTTCACAAAGATTTCAATTTTTCTTTAAATATTTCCTATTTAAACACAAAGACAGGCTCGAAGCCACGTAGAACATAAACAAACTAACTATGTATCGAAGTTTCCAGGTACACAAAATAAAAATATATCACGGTCACAATAAAATACACAAAACAAATAACAAATCTAAGCTAAGAAATGGAAAAAGACGAGAAAGAAATTGATTTCAAAAAATTATTGTGTGATACGGCACCATATTAGGATCACGTTAATTAACATTTCAACTTAAGTGAAGAAAATTATCTCAACTTTAACACGCCGTTTTGCTTATAAGCTATCAGCTGGCGCTGACATCATTGGTCATATATGTGGGAATTTGTGATCTTCTTTTTCTTGAAGAGCAAGTACCTAATTGCACATACCAGTGTTATGTACAGATATTTTAAGAAATTATTATAATAAAACACTGGCACTCATCATTAACAAAATACGCAATTTTGTTTTTTGAAACTAATCAGTTAAATATTTAATTTATTTTACAAATTGTCATTCGTTCTGTCAGTCTGGATCTCAAAATACACGGAGAACCTTCTAAATAAAATTTAAAGTCATGTTAAAAATATTTAATTGCATTTATTTTTAGTTGTAACATAATGAAAAACATATGAACAATGTGAATTTTATGATATGTGTACAAAAAAGCATGGCACAAGAAAATAATAGGATAAAAAAAATAACTCACGCATTCCCTTCTATAAGTTGATCACCCTAGTTGACCATAAGTCAATGCTCAGCAAGTGGTTAACAAACGTAGGTTTTTTGTTAGAAAGCCTACGTAATCAAATGTAATAAATAGTACTTGAAATAAATTCATTTAATTGTCTCAGATTATACTCTTTCTAAATTGAGATAGACGTTTCAAATCAACAAAATTTTCCCAGTCTCTACACTTTCTTACTCTCTTTTACCATGGTTTCCGCAAATCCTGCTTTTCCCCACGCCAGTATATTCCAACTTCTAATTGAAACTTACTGGCATGTGACTTCTTACTGAAACGTAGTGAAAAAGCAAGATGTACCGAAACCCTGAAAATGAAGAGGAGGAAAGTGTGGAGGCTGGGGAATTGTGCAACCTTGAGATGACTATTTCTATTTAAAAAGTACTTAGCTATTACTTTTTTTTACATAAAATATCAAGAAAAAGAGGAGAAAATTACCGAATTTGGTATGCAGGGGTGGGTGTTGTCCCTCCTCGTCTTCTGAGAGGTCCAAAGGAATCTTGATACTTGTGTTGGTTACAGTCACCCTCCTCGGACTACCTTCCACCATTCTCAAACCTCCTCATGCTTCGAACATACCTGCAACACACATAATAAGATGACAACTTTGACACACAATGACACTGAAAAGTTCAGCTGTTTAGGGGTCATTCAAATATTGCATTAAGTATATCAAAAGGAAAGAAGTTTGTGATTTGTTTATTACTACTGAGAAGGGGACAAAGAAGAGTATGAGCAATGCTTACGCAAAATAAATACTAATTATATGCTAATTATTTTCCAATAAAGTGCTCTTGTTTTATAATGCTTATTTTCTATTTTTCCAAGCGCAAAAATATGTATCAAATAATTTAACAGAATATAAGTTGGAAAAATTCAAATTTGAAGATAAGCAAATAAATAAATAAATTCCGGGAAAGAAAATGTTAAGAAAAAATTTCTCCACAAAAGAGAGTTTCGATGCAAAAAGAGTTTTGATGCAAAAGTAGAGTTTTGATGCAAAAAGAGAACACAAACTATTCTAGGCAGTATTCTGCACAAATTTTTTTAAAATGAATTAAAGTGTATATTTTGCGTAAAATGACATATTTTATTTTATTTTAATATAAAATAATAATTAATCTATTATTCTCTCTTATTGGGTAGATTGCGTATGTTACGTCAGGTAGGCTATGATTTCCTCATACGCGAATCAACTATATAACAACTGTTCTGAATTTAGTATCTAATAGTGCTTCGCTGTGTTTTCCTTAGTACACCAAGGACTAGTGGATGGTTGTTGGATCCAGGACAGTGGGGCTACATCTCATATGTGTAAAGATGGTTTGAATTCCTTGAGTTGAGTGACAGTAAAATATATCGAGCAAGCAGTACTGAATACAGAAGGAATTGGAACTGTTTGAACTATTTCATTGAGTAACAATACAAAAATTAATCGGAGTAATGTTTCAGAATTTTGTCATAATTTACTATCAGATACTTGTTTAATGGAGAAAGGATATAATATTAGATCAATTCAAACTCAGTATTAACTTTCGCTTCTAATGAATGTACAGTGCGTAAAAGAAAACCCCGACCACCCTGAATAACTTTTTATCTAATGATCGTTCTAGGTCTCAATCTTAATGGCTCGGGGGCTGACCTCAAATATGCTAATTAATAAGTGCAGGCGACATGTTACGAAATTAGATACAAAACGTACTTTCTCTGAATAAACGTACCTTTTTTTAGTCTGATTTCAGATTCCTGACCCCCAATATAGAGGGGGTGGCCTCTATCTGAGAAATATGGTGCCCATAGTTTGGTCAGGAGAGCGATCCAAAGTTTTGACCCATTTATGTTAATGTTACTTTTCGCTTATTTCTTTATATCTCGAAAACGTTTTAATTGAATTGAAAAATGTTTGCACCCAACTATAAAATTCGTTTATCCGAAGGTAATTCCATGCAAAAAGTAATTCTTAGTAAATATGTATTATTTATTATTTTATTGAATGATGGCATGAAAAATTGTTTAATAGTAAGGTATACATTTTGTAGCATCATTTTAAAGATTATAATTTTGCAATGCAAAATGCAAAATGTGAGGTAAATTGGTCGAATAATTCCAGAGAAATTGAATCTCAGAAACCGATTTTGACTGATTTTGCTCATTTTTGTATTTTGCCATGTAAAATTGCATTTTTTAGAATTATGTAAAAAGTTGCATGCCTTACAATTCAAAATTGTTTCGACTATTATTAAATAAAATAATAAAAAATAATGAATTTTTACTAAAATTTATTTTTTGCATGAAATTGTCTTTAGATAAACTAATTTTATAATTGTATGCAAAAATTTTTTTTCAATTCGCTTAAAAAGTACGAAAACGTAAAAAATAAAATTAACATTAACGTTAACGCATTCAAATTTTGAATTACTCTCCTCTGACAAAACTGAGGGGATCATATTTCCCAGATTGAGCCTATTCCCTGTATTTCGAGGATCAGAAATCGGAATCCGTTGAAAAAAGGTATGCTTATTCAAGGAAATTATGTTTTTTTTTGTCTGATTTCGTAACTTAAAATATTGTCGTACTTATTAATTAGCACATTTGAGGTAATCTCCTTGAATCTTCTAACTTGAGTCAGTCCCAGAGCGTGAAGATCGGATCATTAGATCAAAAGTTATTCAGGTTGGTTCGTTCCATTTTTCTTGTTTTTTTTTTGCTCACTCTACATGTAGTTTTAAAGGTATTAAAAGCAAATAGAAGACTCTAAATTAAGTTAAAACTCAATGGAGATAACATTTACATATTTGGAAGCGCAACCAAGTTAAGAATAACGCAAAATAAATGTAATATCGCACGCAAGTTCATGTTACTTAAATCCTGAATACATGGAAAAATGTGTAAACTGTTAAATTTAAAGGTTGATAATGCATTAAAATACGAATTTCATATTTGTAAAATTACCAGAAAAACTCATCCTAGAGTTTTAATTCCTCAAAATCCATCTACTTTAGATTTGATGCAGTGGTGACATGTGTGGGACAATTCGAATTGAGTTTATGGATAAGACGAAATATTTGTTTGATATTAGTAGATGATTATTCAGTCATGTGCTTTACTTATTTTCTTAAAAATAAAACCGAAGCGTTTGATAAAATAGTAAGTTTCAAAATCGAGAATTTACTCAGCAAGAAAATTGAGAAAATTGAATTTGTAACTAAAGATCTTTAGAATTATTTTACTGGAAATGTGAACTTACTCATGAAAAATCGATACCTTACAGCCCAGAAAGTTAAGGTAAGGCCGAGCGAGCTAATTGTTTTGTTAGGCAGAGTGCATCCGTTAATCTACGATACTAAAATTGTCTTCAATTTTCGTGCTGAAGCAATAGCTTATGCAGCACATGTTGCTAACTTACTCCCAGAAAAGGTAAAACCGAAGTTCCTAAAGAATTATTCTTTAATAATGTGCAGAACTATAGTTATTAGCGTGTTTTTGGATGTACTGTATACTATCATGTTCCTAAGGTTTTAAAACACAAACTCTCTATTGCTGGTAAGAAGAAAGCATAATGCTAGGACGAATTTATCTATGATTTTTAAAGAAATAAATAATAAAAAATATTCGGTTAATAAATTATTTTTACTTCTATAAAAATTTTTAACCATTTTTTTCTGCTGTAAATTTTTTACTAAACTGTCAGCCTTCATTAGGTTACCCAGTATATTTCCCCTTTAAATTATGCGAGTGATAAAGAAATTCTAATTATCTAAATAATGAATCGTTTTATTTCCAGTAAACAATAACACGCAGGCAATAACTTCTCTCATTAGACTCGAAACGAAACAGTTTATCGAGATATGATCTTGTTTTCTTCATTTTATGGTCCATATATAAAGTCAATATTTGACCGCATCATGTCATTCCCACATGTTACCGCAACTGACCTTCTCGTATGTATTGTTGATACAATATATATTTTCCATCACGAATTTTAGGATCTAATTATTTCATAACATAACAAGGGTCTAATTATTTATTTTAAGTGAATACGTTATTTTTATAATGCGAGCGACAATTTCATATAGCATTCGCATTTCTGCTGTTCGAGAAATTATTTATAACAGTGCATAATCTAATAGATTGTATAAAAGGATGCATTATATACTAAATTTAGTGTTAAAATTATATTTTTAAGTATGAATGGAAGGGTAATCCCCCTATTCGCTGCCGCTCACCAACCCCGATGATTGCTTCGCAATAATGGGATATCTTCAAGTGACGTAGTGCCGGTATATCGATCCTGATAGGTTGTTAAAACGTGTCATTTGTTTACGCTTGCAACTGTTCTTTAAATTCTATTTCGAGTCATGTCAAGTATCAATTTTCTTAAGTGACACTTTCTATATTCTTACACAAAGATTTTAATTTTTTCACCCTATATTTCTTATTTAACACAAGTACAGGACAAAGATAGAACATAAACAAATTAATTATGCATCAAAGTTGCCAGGTACACAAAAACAAAAATTCTTCACGGTTACAATAAAATACATAAACAAATGATAAATGTAAATTTAGTGAAAGAAGCAGACGAGAAAGAGTTATATTTCAACAAATACGATGTGTGATATGGCACTGTAGTTAATTAATTTAACAATAATTTACATTCTAATTTATGAGGTGAAACTTAGCTCAATTTTAACACGCCATTTTGCTGCTTACTGGAGCTGATGTAATAGGTCACGTGTGTGGGTATTCGAGATCTTCTTCTTCTTAAAGTGCAAGTGCCCAATTATCCACCTATCACACCATGGCCAGCCAAGGTGTTCAACAGCCATGAGTGGAATGCTTCATAATCGCCATTTCGTTCCGACGACGTGGACAGTTCCTCCCACTTTCCCACACCACAACCACTGAGAGGTGGACTATCAACCACCATAGATTTAACCTGCACCTTGCTGGCGTTCACGTTGGTTGTCTTGTCAGCCGCTCTAGGAGGAAACTCACTTCCCCAGCTCGATTAAGGTTTTACTGGTTTAAAACCAGCGAACCTTAACCGACTGCAGCACCAGATTGCTTTTGAAGGAGGATACCGTATCAACAAAATTCAGGCAAACTCCTACAAATTGTCGTTAAAAATAAGAGTGTGCGTGTGCGACAGAGCCAATGAAAATTCTATCCGAAATCATATCAATTCGATACTTTTAAGTTACACTCATTATTTTATTTCTTACTTCTCTGTGCAGAATTATATAGAAGTTGCTTTTTTAAATTTTGGAATTTATTTTTTTCTCTTTTTAAATTTTTCTTGAAACTTATATGGCATTCAGTGTTTGTCAAGGAATCTAAATATATTTGTAAGAAAGGCTCTGCTTACAGACAACTCAGTATTACCACAAATTAAATTTCGCAAAACGAAAATCGATGAAAAAAATGGAAAATAAGAAAAACGTTGTCCAGAAAGTTTAGATCTAGATTATCTCTCTGTATGAACAATGAGTGTAAAAATCCAAATATAGAAACGTATAGACACAAGTGGACATTAAAAATTCATTAAGG